TATATATATATATATATTATAAGTAAGACAAATTTAAAAAATTGCTAAATATAAATTTATGATTAAAAATAAATATACAATAAATATGAAAAATCATATAAACATAATATTCTTTTTTTGGTATTAGGCATTTGGCTCGAGATAAATTACTATATTTTGAAGTATTACTGTATTTTTGAAAAATCCAAAACTCATTTTTTACTAAAAAATTCAGTAATACTTCAAAATGTAGTAATTCATCTCCAACTGAACTTTATTTTTTAACACACAGAATAATATTCCATGTATATTATTCTCAACCGCGCACTGGCCTTTCTCGCCTCCGCTTTTTCTGTTTCTCTAAGAAATGCGTTTGGAAACAGTGTGACGCTAATATTGAAGGTTCATGTACGAGAGAATGACACTCCTTTTGCGGTTCAATTGGAGAACCTTGTAGAAATTTGCAAACACCAAACAAAAATATGAAGATCGGTTGGAAATGCCCTTATAACATTCAAGGAGTGTTATGACTTATGATATAAAGTAAAAGATAATGAAGCTTGGATCATTTGTTAAATTGACCCGAAATCCGAAATTGATCAAAAATTGATCCGAAAACCCATTTTGACCCGGCAACCTGAAATTGACCCAAGATTGACATATTTTTTTACCCGAAAACTAGTATTTTTTTATTGGCACCGAGTCATTCGGGTCTGGTCGGGTTGACCCGGGCCCGAAGCGGGTCAGATTCGTGTCAGAAAAATCGACCCGTTTGCAAAAATGGGTCGGTTCGTGTTGACCCGAATAGTACCGGTCAATTTCGAGTTTGACCCGAACCTGACCTACACGTGACCTAAAATTGACCCCCCTAATTTCTTCAAAATAATAATAATAATAAATAAAGAGGAGCGAATCATAAATCACAGTTGGTGGGAAGAAAGTACAATTTTTGTCGTCATATAGCTCAAATAAAAATTGTAAATATGATATCCTATAAATAAGAAAGAAGATGTGATGCAGAAAAAAAAAACTCTTTATACAATTGGTGAAATTATTATGCGCAGTTATTGGATTATCCGGAAAAAAATGAGAGCGCGTCACGTCATCCTGTATACAGCAGTACAGGACATTGATACACACAACAAAAAAATGACGTGATGCGTTCCGTCTCCGGGTGGTAGTACGCTATTTGTCCAAAATAATTAATCCTGAGGTTGATGAACAGTCTTTTAAAAAAAAAAAAAAAAAAAATTGCGGAAAGATAGAAGTCTAAATTGAGATAAGGGTTCTATTGATTTGTATATATATAAGATCTGTCAAAATATGATTTCTTTTAAGTTGAGGAGGATATTGATATAATGTAAAATTTTTAGATTAACCTATTAAAATTTGTACGTACTAATATTTGTTCAACATACATTATTTAGAGCTTTTTTGTGAGTCTTACTTCTTGTGTTTTAAGGCAAATGATTTTTGTACACGATATAATCATCATTTGTAATCTATGAACTGTATTAGTGAAATTATTTCTCCTGGTTAAACCTGAAGGTTTTCCCTCTCTATTACAAATATAGACCAGCTACACCAACAGCTACACCACAGCAACCTCTTACTTCTGCATATTTACCCATATAGTCTTCTTCTTGATGTATATAGATACCTATTTATGTAAACATTTGATTGAGTGAATTTATGTTTCATTTTCTGTTCTCCATTCTCCCCGCTATGGATTTCCAATCCTATATGCAGCTTCTTATCTTGATTTGTCGATTGAGAACTTGGACTATCAATTAAGAGGTCTTAAATTTGATTTTTTTTTTTTTGTATGTACGTGTTGTGTGTATGACCTAAATGTTTAAAAAAAAAAAACTATCAATATAAAGTTTAGCACTCCAAATTGAAAAAATTATTCTGTGCGAACGATGGATGCACGCTAGTCCGGAGACCAACCAAAATACGTCACTTCAGCAGTATCGAACCGCGGTACTGAACAGTACCGAGCCGCAGTACCGAGTGGAAGGTGACATGACGCATTCTGCGGACAAAATTGATATTTTGTTAATTTGTCATGTAATTTTAAGATATGATAAATCTCTCTCTCTCTCTCTCTCTCTCTCTCTCAATCGTTACTCCGAATATTCAACCACATGATAAATATGACTGTTTTATTTTCATACAAAACTAAAACACCACAGTGTAGCACGAGAACGGCTCTTAAAAATCTAGACAAGCACTGCGCTTACGATCCACATAACCGACCAGGTAAAACCCTAGACCCACGGAAAGCAGAAGAAACACGATGAGATTCTACATATATTTAAGACGTGACCTGCTCGATCCGGTGCTGCGCCGATTCCTTATACTCGCGAGCCTTGGACGCGATAGTAGCCTGAGCTTTATCAATCTCGTCGGCGCCGACGGGGCGCTTCCCCGTGACGTACCTATACATCCACGAAAGCAACAAAAGGGCAGCAACGCCGAATACTCCCGATATCAGAAACCCACCAACGATTAGCACGACGGCGATCGTTGCGGGCACGAGCACCGGGCTGAAGATCACAAGAAGCGGCGTCGCCACCGTGAGCACGATCACCGTGCCGGTAAGCGTCAGTCCTGATAAGAGTAGCATTGATCCACCTATAGAAGCAGCCGCGGCCGCCTTTAAGATCTGGTAAGAAATCGGATGCTGGTCCTGTTGACCTCGGCGATCTCCTCCTCGACTGTAATCAGCCATTGGTGTATTGCTTAGGTAATTAATTAGGGATTTGTTGTGCGAGAAGGGGGTTTGAGGGAGATGAGTGATGGATGGTGGATATGAAGGGAGAGGGTGGGTACGCGTGGAAGTGCGCATGCGACGCCAATGCTGGCACGTGTCAGAATGGGAAGCTGGACGGCGGGAAGGCGACGCGTGTTGGGACACGAGTGGAAATTATTTGGACAAATTTTTTAAATGATGTTTCTAAAAAATTATTTTAGTCAAACGAATTAAAACATAATAAATTTAAAAGCTATGCTGGGCGTTGCATGAGCGGTGAGCTGCTGGGAGAGAATCGAGAGATGGTAGCTGAGTCGACTTTTTTTCATATGTAATTTAATTTTAATTTATATATATTTATAAAAAATGGGAATTAAAAAATAAAGAAATTTTAAAAGGAGAACAACAAATAGTTAAGTTAAAGTTTAGTTGAAATTTTTTTAGTTTTAAA